TTACAAAGTAGAATTTACGAATGATGAAATGCTCCCAAGACGTACAAAAATAAAGGGTTGCGGTGGCAACTTCTTGCTGTACGACGAGGGTGGCTGCAGATCGAGTGATGGCAGTGGCGGTTGCGATTTGAGGACTGAAAGGTCCTCTTTGCCGCCAACTGTCCGGTAGAGATGAAATTCAGCCTGGATGGGGAGAGTGTTTTGCGGGAGTTGTGTGACATTAAAAAAATACTCGTACTGGGAGGCGGAATCTGAAAGGAATCAGTGAATGGTATCTTGTAGTAGTTGAAATTTTAAATTATTGGTCTTTTTTATTGAAACTTATGCTACTCCGATGACTACACCACTTTTGTTTACCTGGTGTCACTTGAGGTGTTCAAGGTGGGATAGTCATAATTCCTCCATAAATTTTGTCAATAAAAGCTGCTAATTCGTAGTTAAGCATAAGTGCTTGGTAAGTGGATATTTATGCAAAATTATCCGGCTCTCCTTATATCTATCAAGCCTGTTTACCACCAATCTTCCGCACCAAATTGCTTCTCATATGGTCGTGTTTGTTAATCAGATAAATGGAGGCACTCAGTAAATCTGTTTTACACTCTTTAAACATGAATTCTACCCACCGTTTCCTAGTAACACGGTATCGGCTGTCAAGCAGTCGGTTTTAAAAAGAATCACATCATTCCATGTACTCGTGTTATTCTTTTGATTCTTTATTTTACTTTATGCTTCCAGTTGCACTTCCGAAGTTATGCCACTGGAAAACAATAACCGATAGAAAACTTTATTGTACGTTGTTGGTATTTCCCACAAGCCGCTTTTAGAACCATCAAGAAGATGGATTTTTGCAGATCTTTAGGAAAGCCATCCTTTGAATATGCAGTAGAAATGTGGTCAAGGGATATGAAAAAGATTTACCTTAACACCCTTGCGACCAGAGCCACAGCGGATGCTAGACTACCACATTCTAGTTGTTTTAGCGGCCTAATATGAGGCCAACAAAGATGACCAAATCACCTGCTTGATTCATCATAACTGTATAATAGACTGGTATTCGACCGAGTAAAATATTCGTCTACGGCTCTTTTCTAGTCCTTCGAGATTCAGCCTCCGCAATGGCGGCACGGGACCTTAATCATAACCTCTGTGTCAGACAAGCACTCCTACCCTTTCCACGCATTATAATAAAGCTGTGTGCCAAAAGTGATGCGCCTGTAGCATCTACAGAGATCACTCGAGGGTTACAGTTTTGCACCCACCGAAACTTCCATCTTTGGCCCCTATGTCACTTTAACCTTGAAGTAGCCATGCCTGTTTACGCTGTCTAAATGGCCATCCGTCTAGCAGACAAGTTCATAATTACTTCTTCTGTCTGTTCAGCAGTCATCCTGCCATCCCACATTGGCGACAATAATACAGAAAATTTGGCGCAAAAAATTCCAGCAAACAGCCGCTCCGGTGAAATTTTCCTCCACTTCTGTCTTCGAGAATCAGTGTAACCTTGCAGGCTAGTCATTTCAGGCACAAAAAATTTTTGCTCGTTGGATTTAATTGCATCGTAAAAAACAGGCTTTGTTTTTGTGTAAATACAGTGTGAGCATCAAGAATTTGCCACTTAACTAAACATACTATCTTAATTTTCTAATTAAATTAATATAGCAGAACTAAAGAGGCTTTAAGAGCTTTTACTTCTTTGCTCATTCTTGCACAAATTCTTTTTTCAAACTGACCTAGCCTTCTATCGCCCTTCAGATTAACAAAGAGTCGATTCGAAATAACGCCTTGCTTCTCATTCGCTTGTGTAGTTTGACAAGACACTAGGGTTTAATCACTGCGTCGTGGCGACAATTTAGGAAAATAATCGGACCTCTTAGCGTCTTAAAAGTTTCCCTCGCTGCAAACCCATAAATAAGATGCTTGTTATTGAGGAGAACCATTTTAGTGTCTGCAGTAAGTTCGGAAATTTCCTTGTCTAAGAGTCGAAAGTGCAGAAGAACAGCGATTTTCTACTCTTGCCCTCTTTGCGTTCGCCTCTCCCCCTTATCAGGCGCCATCTTTCCTTTGAGAAGCACACACACAGAGGCACACGAAAGTGTCGTTTATTTTCATTACTAAGGCTTCCCTGACGAAAAATATAATTAAAAATCAATTTTAAGAACTCTTTTTTTAGAAAGTTAGAGAGGAGTGAGAATTATTTGTGCATTCTCCGCCGGAGCCTTTGGGGACATGTCCCTCTAGTGCTGGAGGTTTTAGAAACTAAAATGGAGTATAAGTGCCCTCTTATCAAAAAACTGCATCTATTTTTGGAAATTTTGTTTATGTCATTTTTGCTTAATCTGCTTGTAGCATAAAGTTGGCGCAACCGCTTAGCAAAAGCGGGAAAAGACCCCGTGACGCATATTTGTGTCGCTAGTAGCGAAAGCTGACTTGACCTCCCCGAAAGGCCCACTGTTGGCCTAATTTTCCAATACGGGGAGGAAGGCCTTTAGATTTCACTTTTATATTCAAACCTTTTTTCAGTTGGGGCAACAACTTCATCAGTCGGCTAAAAATATTACTTTATCGGTTCCGTGTGCATTCCGATAAGTAATCACGTGAACTTACGAAGCCTTGGACAAATAAATCCGGAATGCACGCTTATACAACTCAAGTGGCTTTGTATGCCGAATTAAAGCCTTTAAAATTCGATGCTATCAACTTAATCTTTGTGACTTGGTTCTGCAAATCTGTGCTCTCATTCAATTTTTAGAAAAAAATGGGAACTCGGCCATTAGCCTTGACTGACCGACAGGTGCCACGGTCTATGTGCTAATAACTTCACATCTTATTCCTTTTTACTATCTTCACTTACAAAAAGGAGTGTCAAGACTTCTGGCCAGGCATTCTACTGGGAACATAGATATTAGCTAATAACCCTGCTGAGTCAGGTCATTTTTAAATTTAAAAGCAAACTTTGTGGACAAGGTGAAAAGACATAAATTTCAATTGCACATCAAACTACTGTTTGGCCTAGTAAGTCATGAAAAATCCTAGAAGGACCGGACTACCAAGGTAACCTATTTTATTGTCAGCACTTCAGTGGAGATTTGATATCCAATAACTTTTGCAATCACTGTAGTCGTAAAAGCTCCAAATGATTGCAGCTCTCGTACTGTCAGATCATTAAATTCTGCAAAATACATTTGCAAACCTTGTAAATATAATTCGATTCTAGTTACAAAACACTTTTTAGGTTTAATTTCAACCCCCCCTGAACAGGTGTATTTTTGAGAACCGAGTTTTGGCGCCTCCAAGTCCTTAAAACAACAAGGCATCAATGTGGATGGATAAGGTTAGAATTACATGATACTTCAGATAATGGGGGTCTGTAGTTTCATTCTTTTAGGCTTACACTCCGTCTCTCTGTAAATGCACTTTTACCAGCGTCATCTCAAGTACTTTTGTTAATTTCACTTACAACTCGGCTCTCACGGCAGCCGAAGTGGATGTCATTTGAACTTCAAGTTAGCAAAAAATTTTCTTTTACAAAAAGTCTCTCATTTTTGCCCAGAAAAATTAAGTAGGTGGGATTGTATTCCAAAAAATAAGCTTATAAACCATCCGAAAGTTCTTTGTAGGTCTCTGAGGATTTTGCGTAACTGGCTTAGTGGGGGTCTTGAAGATAGTGTGAGAAGTGCGAAGCGGTAATGAGGTAGGAAACAAAGAAATGTAGCTTAGTAAATAAAAACTGATGTCTTACTTCCCAGTAAACAACTTTCGACACACATACCTATTCAAAGTCTCTTAAAAAGCATTTTTCTTCAGTAAGTTTCAGAAACGAGCTAGAAATAGGGTATTTATAACAGATAGATCTCCTTTATTTTTATGGAAGTATTGTGATTTTAACCTTTGAGGATGCAATTTAAGTCATGTTCTTACTCTCCCATACTTTATTTAACATGGTAAAATGATTAAAGGGGGAGAAATAAACTTTTTAGGTAAATCATTAAAGTCAAGTTTTCACCAATGGACTGCCACCACCATCGTTATTAGCAGAAAAGCGTAACCACGGTGATGCTCAACCTGCCAATTCGAAGCACTAAGTGCTAGCGCAATAATTCAAATTTTGCATTATCTATAAAAATTAGTATAAGTTCCCAGAAAGGACTCAAAAATTGTTCTTTTGGATCCTAAAAGTGGCTTTGGCCAAAGCGATTAGGCGGTAAAATGGGATCATTTTTCAAATAGCCACAGCTATAATCGCCTACATCTAGCATAGTTAGCGGCGGAACCGTAAACGCAAGATAGGCACAGCAACACAAGATGGCTTTTTATCCCATAGAGTATCTGTGGATTAAATAACTTTGTTTAAAAATCAATTTTAGAGAAAAAACATTAAATGAATGAACTAAATTTTGATGAAAAAATCGTAACCTTGCACTTTGCGGAGTAAGAATTCTCTCGCAAACCTATACCGGTGGACTTTTTCAAAAAGCAGAAAGTAGTTTTTCTGAGCAGATTTCCAACTGCACGATCAGTATTTGGAAGCAACATTATTAGCCATGGCAACGTTTAAGCACTTGCAGTACGCTTCATCCCGGCATCAGGCTCACCTCTCCGAAGGTCGTTTGGTCCCGACGTTAGCTGATAACGCTTTGTGAAAACCAGCTACTTATGTAGTCAAGAAAATCGCCCCATGGTATCAAAATCTCAGTCGTGACGGATTAAAAGTTGCTGAAAATTGAGTTGTACCTATCAAACAAGGGGATGGTAAAAGGACTCTGTTTAAACGAACATCTCGCGGTCGACAAAACCAATTACCTTATACAAATAGCCGTGAAATTCCCTCATATATCCATTTGAATGTTTACTTTACGACTTTTTAGGGCTGTTGGAAAAATATTCCAAAAATGATTTCTGAATATTTGCGACAATTCTTTAGGTGTACTACAAGAATAACTTTAAGGTGATTTTTAGGTTTGGTGAATAAAGAAACTAGTTATTGGTTTTATGGTAAATAAATGGAATGTGTGAAAGACTTTGACGCTAAAACCATCGAATCCAATTTCAAATGCTTGCCCATTAGGGAAATAATTACACCAACAAAAGTTAGTGCAGAAAATTTAAGGAAAATAATGAATGGCATTTTTAATCAATTTTGTGTCCAAATTTCTCGTCATTTTCTCTTTCGGAATCGAAAAATGCAAACTTTACATATTGTAATTTATCCGGCGACTTTGATTCGTGAATGGGACCCACCTATGAGGGGCAATTTTAAAATTGGTAAAGGGAACATAATTAAAGCAATCGTCTTGAAGAGGAGAGAGAGAATCCACTCCTCAAGGCCACTCTAACCAGGATTTGAACTGAGAAGAATTAGCTTAGCAGCGGACCTGCAAATGTGGTGGTATATACCTACTTACAGTACGTTTTAGTGACAAGGTGAATTAAATTGAAATGTCAAAAAGATGGTGAAAAGGCGCTCACTATATGTCTTCTTTTCATCAAGGAAGGCGAGGACTGAGTCGGCGTAGTAGGGCGGTGGAGCGAACAGGCGACCGCGCTCATCAGTAGTCGACTGATAGAGGCGCGTTAGAAAATCTGGGGGGACACGGGCCCACTCCTCTACACTCCCCTCTACCCCCAACGTGAAAGCTGTGGCGTAAACGAGGAGGAGGATGAGGACGAGGGTAGTGATTGAGGTGGGCGACTGAATTGAAACCCGAAAGAATTTATCATCCGCCAGTTTGCAGAGGGGATATGCTGCATTGGCCGGTGGTCTCGGTCGGCCTAGGTCTGGTCTCTGGCTCGCTTGCTCTTCCACACACGTCCTGATGCTCTAAAACGGCCTCTGTGTGGGTATCTTGGAAAGAAGTAAATCGCGTGAAGTCGAATGAAATTTGCTCGCCTCCCCTTTTCCCCTCATCCCCTTCCAATACGCACGCACGCACGTGCCCATATGCGCGTCTAGTGTGGATTTCACGGACGCCTATTGGCCACAACAAGGGTTTTGTGTGAGCCAGTAGGCCAGTACTGGGTTATTAAGCAAGTTGGTTAGTAGACCACCAATTCACTCACTTGTAAACTGGCAATTCATACCCTCTCTGAAGTGATAGTGGTTCTGAAATTTTTTTGAGACTAGTCGGCATGATTTTAAATACCATTTCACTGCATCAAACAATTTTCGAAAGTCTGTCCGAGGATGTGATTTATCTGAAAAGCATTTCTAGTCCTCCATGACACTTGTACTCCCTTATACTTGGTGTACCATGAAGAGGAACATTCTAGTTATGACCCATGGCTTGCAATTGAATTGAGCCTCAAATCAAGGATTTGGAAATCTCTGGTTTATGTTAGTCGACTAACAACTTACTTTCACCTACTGTTAGCTTACCACCTTAGGGCATAGCGTAGTAGGGGTTTTGCTGTCCAAAAGACAGCCAAAAGCGTGACTTTTTCCTCCCAGCATTACTTACACCAATTTTGAATTAACTGGCGCTGGCAACCAAAAGTAGCAGCAGTGATTGCATTCACTGCAGTGGTGTCGAAATCGCCCGATACCTTTTGTATTGTGGCATTTTTGTTGGCATTTCATGTGCTCGCACCCGCACGCATCCACACAGATGGAAAATATGTTTTGCCTGGTGGAACCCCTATTAAAATATATATTTTTATTCATGGGCCCTTAGTTCCTTCGAAAGTTGGTGTTATGCACGTATGGAATGGTTAGAGGAGTACTTCATGAATGTTTAAGTAAAGCAAGCCTCCTTCGGCCATGCAGCCATTCCTTCTTCCCCTAGGAGCAGTCGTATGCTCTCTGTCTCACTGCAGTCATCACATCATAGTCGGGGGAAGAAGGTTCTAAAAAATTACCCTTGTCACTGCGTGGAGCTTTGTGAGTACGTCTGTGACTACTTCACCTTTATTTCTCTTTGTTGATCGTCCCCAAATTTGGGTTATTACAGGAGGCAAAAGTGCTGCTCCACTCCAACGACATTTGACGGATGCAAGACAGTGTAAAAGCCAGCCGATGGTGTCCGTCTAAGAGGCGAAGTGGAATCGTGCATGGAAGGAGGCCCCAGGATCTCTGTTAGAAGCCGGTAGTACCAATTTCTAAATGACAATCGGCCTTTTTCATTCATCTTTTTACAAGTCAACCGGCCCACTATTGATTTTGGTGTTTTCTTAAGAATGCATCTGTTATCTTTATGTGGGTGCGTATACTACTTAAGTTCATCAGCCTATTTGAGCATATTCTGTTTTCTGTATCAAGTAATAACTTCTAAATATAAAAGGTAGATTTTTGGGAAGTAAGTTTTTTCTTGAGGCAACTCAAAAGGTAATCTAATGCTGTCGATTTAAACAACTACCTTTGGAATCCCATATTTTACTTATCTACCTATTTTACATACACGCACCGCGCCTTGACAACCCGTCATGTATTCAAACAAGGGGCGACGAAGCGGCTGTTTGCTTCCCTCCCCCAAGCCAAAACAAAGCGCACCAATTTGCATGTGACAGTCATTAACTGCCCCGAGGTTGTGACAACTGGCCCCTGGGTCAGCGTTTTCTCGTCAAGGTCACACCGTCACAGGTCTGGTACACCAATCAAAAGCCGTTGACCAAATCGCGATTATGGTCCCTGTCTGTCGTGCCGAGGTCATGGTAACTCAGGCAACGATTCCCTTCAGCTCTCACATGTGGCCTTCCAAAGTGACAAGTCAGTGAGATCAATGTCAGGTGAAACTGAACCCCTGAATGGCCTGGTTAGTGCCTTTTTTTTCAGTGCGAGATTTTTAGTGACTCTCCCTTACTTGTTGTTAGACCAAGGGACAACAATAGGCACGTCAATTCAACATTAATCTTCCATATGTTGGTGCGTGCGTGACGAGTTTAGACTAAGCCCATCCCTCCACTCGCCCAATCAGTGTACTCATCTCCCTCCACGCAACGAAAACTGAAAACAAAGAAGGTAGAAATGACAGTTGCTGTTTTTTTTTCGTTGTTATTCCCATCCTACTTAAATGCCTTCAGCGTTCATCACCAAGTTGTCTTGTTGGTGCTGTTCCCACAAGCAGGCAAATGTCTCATGCATGAATAAAAACTATTCTCTTCAGTGACATTTCTCGGGTCTAGGTGGACCCCTTTGACATAAGTGGACATATATCAGGAGCCCATGCCATTGTTGCGAACCTCTTCAGTCTGTCACAATATGTCTATCGCCCTTGGTGGACATAAAGCCTGTCAGCCCTTCCATCTTCCCAGCTACGTCAAGGCCGAAAGCCTCCTAACGGCTTTCGAGGGATGGCTCAAATGCTGCAGTCTCGCTTAATCTGTACCAGTCTAGTCCGAAAGGGTTGTCTAAGTGGACGTTTATATTCTGCTTGGCGTTTTGGAAGAAGGATGATGTATTCAACTGCCTACAGAGAGTAAAACACGATAGGAAGGTATTTTGACCTTCTTCTTCGCCATTTTACCATCTAAACTTCACTTAATTAAACAAATATTTAAAATAAACATTATTTGAGGTCATTTATGGCCTTAAAGTTACGCTGTTTGCTATGGTAAGCAGCTGTAGGGTCCCGAGACTTCCCCTAGAAAAGAAGGGAATTATAGTGCCATGACAGAATATGTATTGCTGACTTATAAAAGAGACTGAGGGCTACCGGGATGGTTCAAAAGTCATGTTGCCTGGCGAAAGTAAAAAAACGGAGCCTTCAGTGCCAGCAAAACCAAAACGATGGGTTAAGCAACCTATCTGGGTATGACAAGGCCCCCTCTATTCTTTTTTAGTGATATCCCTTGGCGCTCCCCTTTGTCTTTCTCCCACGTCGGTCATCACAACATAGTCAGTGCTGTGAGAAACACATCCACCTACCAACCGCACCAGTCATCAAATTCGCCTGTAACTGAGACGACATTTGACTGCAACGTCGCCGATCCCTCATGGCAGAACCACGGAAACTGGAGTCCGGTCCTTTTTTAAAACTGTATTGGAGACGGTGGAATGTACAGACCATTGTGTATGTCCATCGCTAGGCGTAAGAATACTGACCAAAAAGCAGAGTCCTGTAACAAAGGGTGGGAACTAAAAAGTTTATTGGGAATAGGTTTTTGCGTCTGTCTCTCCTGGCCACTTTGATCTCACTTCAATCCTGCCTAGCCATTTATCAATCTGGGTTCTGTTTATCCAGCGAAGAGGTGGAGGAGGCATCACCTGTTCGCATAATTGGCATCTCCATGCGGGCACGGTACATAGCTCAATTACAAACCTTTCCAGATGATTCACGGCCACGGTTAATGCCGTTTCAGGTGTTAATAGCTTTCTACCAGACTACGGGACTGGTGTATTTGCCGAAGACAGGCGTCAATCGCAATCCTTCCCTTGGGAGTCGTCACTGATTCTCCCATCCGTCCAGTTAAGAGGTCGGCTTTGCTTTCCACTGCAACTATTGCGGCGCCCAAAGACTACCCTAGAGACAAAAGAAGCCACAAAACGACGTCTAGAAGGGCTGAGAGGCCACTGGTAAGTGGGAAGCGTTTATAAACTGCAGGGGAAGGAATGTAATAGGTGTTGCATTCAGCCCAAGTGCATAAAAATGGATTTTTGCCATCGAAAATAGCACAAGGACTCCGTAAATGACACTAATCGGATAAAAGTACAGTTAGTAGCATAGAACTCTTCATGTGTGTACAGAGCCACGGACAACAGCATCCACAAATGCCAACGCCACTCCAGCCTGGTAGAAATTGCAAATGACGGCAGCATGCAATCATTAGGTAATAAGCGGTTCCCATTTCCTGCACCTGTACTTCAGCACTTCATTGGCTGTGATTAATGGTATGTGGAGGAGTGGTGACTCCCAACCTCGTTGGCGATGATGGAGTTGATGGCTTACGGTGGTCGAAGGCACGTGCACATACATCATCTAACCGCGAAGAAGCAGCAGCATGGGAACCCATCAAAGCCGAGAGTTGGTTGACATGTTCCAGTTACCTGGGAAGGCGCACAAGTGTCTGTAAAATGGCCTTGTCCCAAAGGCCTGACAGTTTAAATAGTGTTAGCCCATACAATTTGATTTAGTGATCAACTTTTCGGACATTAAACTCTTCTGCGTTAGCAAAAAGGATTTTTTGTGTTTATTCCAAGACTACCGAAATTCGGGCTTTCACGCTGGATCTAGTATCTCGTCCCTTCGAGGTGTTCGCAATAAAGCAATCCCATATTCCTTCAACCCATAACATCTTGGAGGGGGCAATTGTACAGGTTGGGTGCAGAAGGAAAGCCTTTCCCGGAGTCCTTTACCGGAAAGCCTAACGAAAAAGCGTCGACCTGTCACGACGACTCTCACCTTGGGTTTTGTACAATGAACTCTTCCTAGCACCTTCAGCACAAACCTCTTCCCAAGAGAGTTTATCCACCAGTTTATAAAGCTCAGCACCAACATTACTGTGGGAAAGAGCCTTTCCTGTGCCCCCTTCCCCTCCAGACTAAATTGGGGGACCAGTCGCGGGGAAGGGAGGAGGGAGGTGGGGCTAAGGTCAGCGTTCAAAACAAGGTGGATGAGGGAGACCTTTCCAGTCCTTCATAATTTGGCCGCCGTGGTGGTGGCACGGGGCCTTGTTCATGATACCGGTTATTACCACCCCTTACTAGTAATCTTATCAAGCCTAACCCTGTCCCCCTCACAACGTCTGCTTGGGTGCTATGAAAACTGCAGCCTACTGTTTCGTTATTTTGAGAGGGGGAAAATGAATTCGAGTTCTTTTACTGAAAATAATTAAAGTAATGCAATTTTATGCGGGAACTGTCAAAGTAAGCCCTGGAGATTGTGGTCTGGTTCCATCCTGAAGCCACTGCTATTGATATTTTTTTGCCCTCAAGTCCTGTTGAGTTATGGATGTCCTCTCCATACCATGGATACTTGAATCACATCTCTCTTCTTCTTTGAAATGGAGTGACTGATGTCTGACGAGGCTTTTACTATGCAGTGTCGACTCTCAAAGGGCTACCTTTTTGAAGTTTGGATGTGTGACTGATTAAGGATTATCAACACAAGCCCTTTTGAGGTGGCATAAGGCTCTAAAGCTCCGTACTCCATTGATTTTAGGGAGTTCTACCTATCTATCCACCTATCCATCTACTCCGTACATTGCTCAACGGTACGATAGAACTGGAACGTGTCCGAGAAGAACTGTGTCTTTGGAAGAGGATGAGACTTAAACTGATCAACCATCGGGAAGAAAGTGCTGTTCCTGTCTTACAACGCAAGACCACAGAGAACGAACAGTATAGGAACAAAATCTACTTCAAATCCCCTCGCACTCAATTTACTATGTTCACATTCTCCTTCGCTGCGATTAGCTACCGTCAATGTAGTGCCTTCGAGACTTCCTTCAAGACGAAAGAAGCCGTACTACTCGGGTGGAATATGTATTTTTGACTTATGGAAGGGCTTGGAGGCCGCTGACCTCCACGCCACCCGGTGGAGGTGCAATAGCGAACCCCCTAAGTGGCCCGTTACCCCCAAGAATTAAGGTATTACGAAGCCAATGGAAAGTCTTCTGAAGAGGAGGCAGTTTTCCCAACGACCTCACTAACTGATTATTCAAATCCTCTTGGTTAGTGTCTGACTACTGCTTGGGTGCCCTAAAACCCACTAACCTGGAATCGATGTGAAGCCACTATTATTTTGTCAAGTGGCATCTTGAAACTCTTTCTTCATCTGAATTCATTGCACTGTTTAAATGGGTGTGGTCTGACTGGTCTGATACATAATCCGGATGCATGCCAGGGGGTATTGAAATAGACCATGTATGCTGTGGAACTAAATAAGAGTCACCACATTGGGAGATATCTCTTACATTTATGGCATCATGAGCAAATGAATGCCGATAGACTTCAAATAATGAGTGAATCAAAGATGAATGGATGAAGGAATGAGAGCATGAATGAAGTGATGAATAAATAAATCACGAATGAGTAGGTAATGGGTTAGTAAAGAACGAACACCCGCACCCACGTAGGTGAAAATGATTTACGCCTTTACCATTTAGTTTTACCTAGTTAATTGAAAACCCGCTGATTATAGTCCACATAAAAGTTAAGGGTTTTTTCGGGTCTCAGTTAGTGCCAAAAACACTAGGGGCGCCTACTACTAATCATAGTTATAGCAGGAGAGCAGTAAAATACGCACTATTCATGCCAATAACTTTCGGCTCTTGACACAAATTCATTAAAGGGCCTCCAACTAATTAGTTTTTGTGATTTTGTGGCAAAGATTAGGCCGTGCCTTTGGCAAAAGGCACTCTACACATGCTCTGAGCAATTCGGTGTGATGTTTCACTGGCTCTCACTTGTGTGTGTGTGTGTGATATACGACGTCAGTTGGAAAATTGTGTTATCTGCACAGAACAAATCGTTAAAATTAGGCAAAAAAGAGCCCTCTCAAAAGTGCTCAATCTCTCCCTAGATTAATCCATCACCTCAGTGAATCTGCGTCCTAAGTCGTAACAAAGGCTTTTTAGTCCATTCTCAATGTCTCAATACAGAGATGAGTGATCTAGAAGTAGCTGAAATCATTCTCGTTCACCTCGAGCAAAGAAACGCCTTCAGTATTCGAGGTAGAACTTCTGAGTCGATTCGACGTAATTAAAAAAAAATTATTCCCCTTCAAGGAAGCAATGGCATATCGAGAAACATGGGTATACCCTTGCCGAGGGTACTCAAATGTGACTAATGTGAAGCTCTGACATGTGTAAAAAACGTGTTGAAGGAACAAGAAGAGGGCTAAAGGCTTAGGCAATTTAGAAGAAGAATACATTCAAGTTTCATAGAGGATTTGTTAGCATCACAGTACTCAATGCCAGTCTGACAATAAATCACTGTACTGTGTTAATGCTATTTTGATCTTATGACTCACTGGGATTCGTGAATTTCATCTGAAATGGAATCTTAAGAAAACAAAGGTGAATGAAACTGCTGATTAACCAGTTTTATTCAAATTATATTCTCCTTAATCAGGTCTAATTTTGCGGTCTAGAAAGAAAAGGCCTATAAAGGAAAAATTTGTGAATTTCAGCACAATTTTGTTTAACCTTACCATAAACGGCCCCTTCTTGAGTTAGCGTTTGTTCAAAGTATGCTTCTGCGCAAGGTAAACCAAGCGTCTTCAAGTCTCCACTGTAATAAAGTGTGGCTTTCCGACTCGCTTTTAAGTCTTGTTAATATAGTTTTGAATTCCACGCCAAATCTTTAAGTTCTGAAAGAAACTCTTAATGAACTTAGCACGAGATTACGGGATTTAAATTAATTTAAAACGAAATATTTCCCTTAAACAGTGCAAACCGACTCGTGCCCTTTACTCTTTCACTATCAGGATCTAGGAGAAAAGTGACCTACCTGGTTCGGGTGTTTCTCCGCTCCAATGTGGCACCAGCTGGCAGCAAATTTGTCATCTAGTCAACTGCTTCTCTAAAAGCAGATAATTTTATCACCTGTATCCATCTTTGGAGCAAGCCATTCTTCTGAAATGACAACACATGTGTTCTCGCGTTACGATACGATAAGATCCCAAAGGGTTATTGTGGGGAATGCGCATCTACACCCTAGTTGTTGCATTTTGTTTTGCTGCGATGTCAGATAACCCAACTTTGCTCTTTCCCTCCAGACTAATGTGTTTGCCTTCAGCAAAATTCTTCACACATGTGGGGCGTGCGGACTCAGAGTAGATATCTGGCATGTAAAACTACTGCAATATAAGTTGCGATGAAAGGTCCGAATTGGAAGATTTCGCTCCTAAGACGTGGAAACATCCTCGGCTGGTGCGTCTTGATTTCACCACTGGTTTGTGTGTATAATTTGGGGTCACAAATCAATTATGCCATACTTTCTGGATATTCTTGAGATTCCATCTGATAAATATTTGAACACCAGCCCACAGGAAGCGAAAATATCCCCCTGCCTGTCCGCAAATAGCTTGTCCCTCATGATCTGTTTTTTTTCTTTCTACCGTTGAAGAATGCGAAATTGAATTACCTGTCATTTGAAGCAATTGCAAATATGGTGCGATATCTACTTGAGAATTGTGCTTTTAATAACACCAGTGACCTCTATCGTGGTCAAATCGTTTAAGATTTTGCAAACCCAACACCGGTATGGCGGCTATTTCATTATCAAAGATAAAACGGAATTCTCAGATGGCATATTCATCTAGATATAATCCGCTCCCCCGTGTTTCCTCTTTGGCCGAAAATGTTTGTCCCTTTTTAACGCATTATCAAGAACAATAGATTCCTTCACAAATCTCACCAAAACATCAACGAAAAGAGTGCTGAATCACTGAGGACTGTCAAAAACCCCCTCTACAAAAGCCTAGACTTAGACGGTCGTCCGACCTGGGAGAAGCATTGAGGGAGTTGTTTAGGTGTGCGTGTTTCACTACGACTCTGTCACGTCGCACACCGCATGCACGATGCAAGAGTTGAGAGCCAAAAACTTTCCCTAACCCATTATCCCAAACACTTTGCTACCAGTTTTACTGGTTGGATGTCATTGAATTACTATGCTAGTAGCGGAGGCTTTAATACGGATTCTTATCTTTTGAGAGAACTGCGTTAAAGAATTGTACCCGAAAACTACGGCCACAAAGTCAACCAGTCTTTAATTTCACAATTAAACACCTTATTGTTTACACGAATAAATACCACAGGAGAGTTTGCGTGGTTGTTTGAAGGCAATAAACGAAACTGACGGTGTTTTGACTGGTCAGTTGTAGTGGTGGCCATGTGAGGATATGTGCAGCCGGTTCAGTCGCATTGCCATAGGTTAGCTTTCCAAACAAACGGCACAAGTTGTGTCCACAAAAAGGTCTCCACTCTCATTGGTGGATGATATGAAGCTGCCAATTCCCATAAATATTTTCGCGCTTGAAATAGTGATAATTCAACATTAAAATCCGCGCTATGAATTAATTTTTGAATGGGAATTTTGTGGGATTTCTGCATGTTTTGATACTTTGTTTGGCCGTAAAGTGCAAACTGTGTTGTTCTGCTCTGACACCAACTGCCTTTGTTGTGCCTATTCTTCGTTAAATTGTGTCACGTGCGTGGTGTGCAGGTTCAGGTAAGAAAATCGGGGCGTCACACATATGTGACGCTGGTAGTAGGAGCTTTATCAGGAATTTACAGTTACTCGGCAAATTGAGCCAAAAAATCTTTCTCAAAAATTAGTTGATAGTTGTTAACCGAACTTTTTATTGTTCGAAAGACAAAGTGGTTCCTATCTCAGAGGTGTGAGGTGGGTGGTGAAGCATTTAATTGGCTTGGGATAGCCAAGTATACATTCCTTTGCTTGCCGCTCATCAGGTATTAATGTGGATAGAACCTGTCTACTGAACCTCCTAGATTTTACATCAACATTCACATTAGATCCTCCTAAAAGGCCGTCTTCACGCTTTGATTGCGATCTATTTAAGTCTCCATTATTACCCCGAACAAAGGGTCATCCTGAATGTGACGCAGCTTTTCTCTTCAAGTGATTTATTACCCGAGTAGCTCTGGATGGTGCGCTCCACCGCCGCCTGCACATATTCAATTTTGACATGACGATTTTACAGCTCTGGTGCCGGTTCAAGCACAGCGCGGCAAGCAGACAAGAGCCAATCCCACACGCATAAGGCGCAAATGACATTTTCATATACGAGATAGAAGCATTCAATACATTTTGACGGGTCCCTCCCACAAATTGTGCCACACCAAATCACTACACCGAGTCATATCGAGATGGCGCCACACCGACTAAGAGTGTATCATCAAACGGTTGGCCTCGCAGAAACGGTCGGAGAGACCTTCAAGGTCTATTCAACCTCTACTAACAGAGTGTTGAGGTATTAGGCGATGCAAATTCGCTCATATCAGGAAGTAGGGTACTACGAGGCCACAAAATCTCCTCTCTCCCTCTCTCTCCTTCATCGCATTTATCCCAAGTGGTTTAGCGTACGCGGAGGTGGTTGTGGCGACTGCAAAATACAATACTGCCTACTTACATGACCATACACTGGCTACAGGCTATGAACTGGAGAAAGGAAAGAGCGTGGAGGGTTCTTCTGCTTGGAAAGAGATAAGCGTATGGCAGCACCTATCAGAGCGGAGGGAACGAGATGTCCTCCCCCAAAAGAGGAAACCGACACTGGAAAGAGCACATTCCTCACTTTAGGAAATAAAATAAACGTAGAATGCCTTTACAGAATAAAAGTAAAATTTTCTGAACAGTGAATAGAAGGTTTTGTGAAAAGTTTTTGGCAGTTTTTTGCCATCTAAGCTAACCGCCCTAAGTTGAGCAATAGCGAGCCTTCGGCATGTCACCTTGAAAGCGGCGTTAATTCGACATTTATGGGGCAAAATAAAATTTAATGAAGGGTTATTAAATCAGGTCATATTTGTACTCGCTTGTTATTGTTGCTGGCAACATTGGAGCCGATCAGAATGGGAATTCAATAAGTGTCCCTGCCCAGCTTTTTCATCTCCCAAGGCTCAGGGCTTATTGACGAAGGGGATAGAAATGAACCAACTGAGAGAGGAGGTATCCCTTCTTCGGAGAGCTTTCAAAGATTTAAAAGACCTACGCTGAACTTCATTGAAGTGGATTTGGATGTCTTCCAGTGCGTACGGGTCAAATAAAACCCTCCCTTCTCATTCCCTTCCCCCGCCTCGCCTATCAAATTACCTGTTATTAGTCACCGGGTATGTCATGCATACATTACACCTTCACCTCGCCCTCCCTGTTCCCTCCTTCTCTCTCCGTCACCACCAAAATGCAAATTAATTGATTTAGGAGGTGCTAATAGCACCCTGCGCCTCTTCCATGAAGTACCCTTTTCGTCCTCACTACCAGGCGATAAAATCAACCCAATTTTGATGTCCGATGCTTTAGCCTGCTGCTTTCTGCCCACAAAAAGCCGGAGCCGATAGGTTGTAACGGGTGTCAGAGCCCATGCTTTAGTGTCTATGGTACCATTTTTTTAAACACTCGTCTTCCATACATCAAAGCAAAAGTCATTGAGTCAGAGATCCTTGGTAGGCACCACTTATCGCATCAAGGCTCGTAATTACTCAAATGGAGGCTGTGACGCAGTGACACACGTATTGTGCTGGCATCTTTATACAGGTGTGGTCTTTCATTAATCCATTCTTCATTGACTCCGTCGAAACTTGGTTTATAGCACTGAGCTCTGCTGGTTAACTCCTTAATTGGATTACTCTCTGCTTTAGCGTTTGAAGGTCTTCGCGTACTCAATAGCTTGGGCGTCATCACCTGAATTCGCTCTAAAGGGGTTACAGAGCATCCTTGGCGTATGAAAGGGTTGAGTGACTAGTAGTTTCGCAGTAGAAGGGTGGAATCTAAGTGCTAAATTCTTCTACGAGCTCGCTCCACTCTGGTAGTGTGGAACTCTGCCACTGCCACTTGCGGCACCAGTGAACAGGATCCCACATCATCGCCGCGAAATCCGAGTGAAGGGCATCCAAACGGTGCTAACTACTATATTTAGCTTCCTTACATTTAGCTTAGCTTCACTTTATAAAACGAGGTCACTTTTGCATTTGGATCGGCAATTCAGCGCTTGGTTTGAAATTTCCCGAAAATCTGAGCTGAAAAGTGCCTCTTGCCACATTTTAGAAATTCCATCCTTTAGCATTTGATAAAAACTAGCCAAAACTGTAGGTGGGATGCTTGACAGTGAGACAGTCTCACCAAATCGGCGTTAATGCGAAATGCCCTTTTCTCTCCTCAGGCCCCAACAACCGGGCCAATTTGCACATGACACTTGGCAGGGTGCACAATCATGGCGGCACAGAGGCGGGTGATCGGGTGAACAAAGCCTGTCCAACAAAAGGCACACAACTCTCTGGGCTTGGTGGCGGTGGTGGTTGTATACGCGCGGCCGGGGCATGAATAAGTTAGCTTTAAGTTAGTGCGCGCGTGCGTGCACACGCCGCTCATTCAAGGCACGAGTGATGTTATAAAGGCTTTATTTTTATTGGCTCTACCATCGACCAATCAAAAGAGCTAACAGGGGATCAGCTTGAAGGACCAACCAATAGGCGCGCTCGCTGCTTCGGGAATTGAACGAAGGCGGAGGGAGTGAAAACTGCCACACTTGCTCGCTTTTTGAGTTGAGGGAGTTTGATTGCAAAGCAAGTTCTGTTTATGTAGGGTCTGTTACAAGTCAACTACTTATTACATTTTCTTCTTTTCATGAAAAAATAAAGCAGTGGGTGGATTGCGTAGTATGTGGTAGGCAAATTTTTTCTGCCCTTTTTTGCTTAGTTCAAGTTCTCCGATGATAAGGCTTTAAAGTATTTGTTAAAATAATGCAAATATCTCCTTTAATTTGGCTTGACGTACATTGATTCTCCCTAATTGTTGCTGTGTTCTGATTCCCGGGAAGGAAATTCCTACAAGTAGTTGCCAACTAGGGTATGATGAGTCACGGAAAGCCATTGTTTACATTATTAGCCCGCTATACATACTTTAGGCAAATTAGATAGCTCCTTTTCCTGTAAGTCGTAAGTCTCGTTTTTAAGCGCTTCCAGATTGTACGTTTTCAAGTAGCTGGAGGTACACCATAGGAGCACATGAGTTGTCTCCCTTCCTCCACTTGGCCACACCACCTTGGTGGATCGGAATGTCCTGTGGGCAAGCGTATTTTAACAACTGATAAAGCCCTGCCAAGTTATGACTCACCCCCGCAGCTTATTTGGTGGTAGGCAAGAGCTCCCGACAATTACTTGGTTTTGTCACTTTGTTCCTAAATTATCTACACAAGATCCGGGTGTTGTGTTGCAGTGCTTACATTTCTGTTTGTTCTCCCTCTACAGAGTTGACTCGACCACAATGCATAACGGAAGTGGTTACAATCATCAACTTGGTCTAATCGAATTGATACGGATTGGCCTAATCCACAGTCCCTCAGGTCGTCTGCTGACCTCGGAGACCTTCCAGGGTTCGCTTAACGTCTCGGGCGTCTCACTGAAGCGCAAGCAAATCTGGACACTCTACACGGAAGAGAAGAACCCTACCGCTTTCCTTCTGCAAAACCACTTGGGGGACTTCCTCAGTGCTGATCATAATGGCAAGGTGACTCTGGCCTCAGAGGAACCGGGTAAGGAGTCCTAGAAGTTTACACGGCTGGGCGGTAGGGACTCTAGTTTACCTCATGGGGCTTGATTGACTTTGCAGGCTCAGAGGAACGTTTTATCATCCACTTCGGACCTCGTGCTTCGGGTGAGATCGCACTCCAATCGGAGAAGCATGGGTTCTACCTCCAGTGGACTGGCACAGAAATGCGGTGCTTCTCTAAGGAACCAGTCTGGTGGGGAATGCGTCTCGGAATACATCCGCAGGTGGGGTGTAGTGACAGGAAACCCTTTTTCCATGAAAAAGGCAGTTAAATAGTTGACAGCACTCCACTTAAGAGGCGTCAATTCTAATCAGAAATCACCAAGCTGTGCTTTTGGCTGCACTTCCTCTCCGAAATGATAACGCATCTTCCTTTAGCCCCTAGTATGAGACCTGCACTCGAGATCATCAAGAAAAGTTAACACCGTATTCGCATTCAAGAGTCTTGAAACCTGTTGGACATCGGTGGTAGTCGATCCGACAATTTGGATGCTTTTAATTCCGTCAGCGCCTTCCACATGCTTGTTGCTTGCATGTCCGCCTAGCCCCCCGAGGTCATTTTGAAGGGTGAATTAGTTGGACTCCCAGCCTGGAAATCTGCTGCCATCCCCCCTGTCCCCCATTCCGGACACGCTGTCCTCCCAAAATGACGTCTAAGATCTCGTGAGGGTGTCGTGTTTCCCTTACCGTAGTGAATTCGACAACTAAACCACGAAACCAACCTTCATCACTCATGACCGCAAATGACCACAGCTGAATCAAGACGCCGAAGTCCCTCCTTTCCCTGATTCGCGGCTCCTTTTTAGATCCACCTACACAGCGTTCACCGCTCCTGCTTCGTCCGTAGTGCCAACAAGGAGAGTGAGTTGCGCACAGTGACGAAGATGCCTTGCAGCCCTAAATTTCTTCTCTGGCTGGAGCAGTTGCCTCTACCGTCCACCTCAGGCGCCGGAGCCGGCACCTCCTCCAAGGAAGCGGTGGCTCGTCTCTCCCGCGTTGCTATACGCACCCAGTCGGGTCGATACCTTCGCGGTGATAGCAGTCTAGTGGACAGCATTGAAGAGGCCTCGCTCTTTGCTATGTCGTTTAAGCCTGGTAAGCCCCCCTGCCTCTTGGAGACGTGTTAATCGGGGTCTTCCCATATTCAGATAGTCGATTCGCCCCTACTTCGATCCTGCTGTGAGGTGCCGTCGACATTCCATTGGTGTCCTCGTTTGTAAATGATCTTAGAGGGTATCCGGAGTAACCCTTAAAGATTCTGTAAGACGCACGAATCTGGGGGAAGCATTGTTATCATCATACAAGAGGGGTGGGGAAACGCAAGCCTATTGGTTGAAGTATGAAAAGGCCCTTGTGCTCAAGTATGGTTCGCAGAGGCATTGATGCCAATTAATAATTTCTTCTCCTCTGTAGGTAGATCGCAAGTTGTGATGTTCCAAGATGTAAATGGCGAATACCTAACTGTTGGAGCTCGTGGCGTTCTCAAGGTCAAGATGGGAGCTCGAGAGCCCCGCAGAGAGGAGTTTTTCTCCATTGAGACGCCCTCCAATCAGGTGCGTCTCTGGGCCTGGAACAACAAATATGCCTGCAATAAACACGGTGAGTTTGCAGAAAGGTCTTTATCTATCTCATAACGCATTTACTACCACCGTTGGGTATGTGAAGTTTCGAATCTCCCACCTGTCACATATTCAGTACGTGTTTTTGATCGTTTTTTTTATGAACGATTACGTCAAATTATGGATCTACTGAATTGGTGGAGCTAGAAAGGAGGTGGTAGAGGCAGGATGTTCATGGTTTGCGGATAATTGTCTTGTCTCTGGTGTCTAAACGGCGATTAAAGAGGTCATGTCGGTGTCGTGTTAGGACAGTAAGGCACATCTAGACTGTGCCGGTCAACTTTTTTTTGGGGTGAGGGGGAGGGGGGAGGGAACCATGGGGACATTGCAACATCAGCTTTCAGATTTTGCAAGAACTTTTAATTCTTAAAATGGAAGGCACAAAAGAGGACTCCGCATGTGCTGTTTTAGAGACCCGAAGAAAACAACTGCACAGATGTCGGTAAAAAACTGTGCTGTAGGATGGTGAGAATGCGGGATGGGGGGAAATTTTTCCGGAATTTCCCCCTGGGAATGGAAGTTGGGGAAAGGTAGAAAAGGAGTTGGCTGGAGGATTTTAACCATGGTTGTACACGGGCAGTATAAAAATAAGAAAAATGTGGCCGTGACTTTGAAGTAGATTTAGTGGAGGTGAATTGGACGTGCCTGAAACGTCGACTTCTGTGCCTTGATAATTTCACGGTGTAATCTTTAAAAATCCGATGCGGAATTCTGGCGGAGTCTCGCTGCCATCTTTTGGTACCGTTAGCAGGGGTAAACTTGCCTCAAAATTCACAGTTTCCTGTTCCAACAGCCATGTGGCCTTCAAGGCGTGATCAACAAATCCGGCCCTCTCATTCACATGCCTGGCAAAAGTGAATGTCACAGCTAGCGCCAGACGCTTTCGAAAATTGCTTTTTGGCCCAATTGAGGAGAAAATTTGCTCAGAAATCCTCCCAACAGCCCAAAACCCATTCTACGTCCCTTCAATAGGCATGCACTGAACTCGCTCAGGACCAGTCTCAGCACCAAACTCTCAGATTTTGTCGTATCGCTAGCGGTTGACATGGCTTTGATTTCACCAAGTGGTGTGCTTGGGTTTGACGTCTTAGTTGTGTGCCGCCTCGCGCCAGATGGAAATTTACCTTTATTTGGATAGAAAAGCCACACTGTCTTCTCAAGCCCCCTTAACAAAGTGCTCTTCTCCGCCGACTCGTTCGGTGCGCCGGCTCTCGGATTGAAAATCACCGCAGCTTGGGGGTGTACCTGACGTACAGGCGTAAGGCCGTCTTTAAAGCGTTTGAAGCACGCTACGAACTGAGCTTGAGAATTCCTATGCAAGTAGGTACCCGCTGGTCCTAATCCTTCGGTTATCACCACACGCTGTACTTTAACGCACGCGCCTGTCATTTAGCTGGACAGTGTCCGAATCCGTCCACAATATGTGCATCGGCCACTATTACTCATCATATGATAAGCCACTGGGTGTAGTGGTCCCACAGGGGTTCCCCCTAGGAGCGACTATAGACGGTAACGCGATTTTGGTTCTTTCTCTCCAATACACCGATAGGTTTGACGTTCTCTACCACGATGGAGGAGCTAGAAGATCATAAGAACACGCTCTATCAGCTGGAGTACGTGGGCGGTCGCGGTCTGGATATGGCGGGCATCGTGAATGCCGCTTCCACACCCTCGGTGGATGCCTCATCGGCGACCTTTGGTTTCGACGGGACGGATGAGGGTGCCACTTACCTCACCACGGGTCTCTGGCGTCTTCGCTCACAGGACCGACGTCTCTGGCAGATTCTGCCCACCGGTTCGGCTGAGCTAGCTCCTGAGGACTGGTGAGATTATTCCTCATCTAACTTCTAGTCACTTGCTATTAGCTGTTGCGTAGTGCATATTCTCGACGTCGGTGCTCTCCACTTCTTTTCCAATTAACTACCGAGGTGGTACAGAAGTTTATTCTGGTGGTAGCAATGTCTCATAGGGCTCCTCTCGTTATGATTTAGACGAAATAATTCGCTTTCACCCTCGCATTCGGATTTAAAGGCATTGGCTAAATACTGCCTTTTAATTTCCAGCACCAAAGACACCACCTTTGAAATGCTCTACGTACCGAGCTACATGGAGGAGGGTACCAGCAGTGGCGGTGAAGGTGAGTCCAAAGGGCGGCTGAACTTGCGGGGCGGAGTGGTGTTACGCACTCTTGATGGTGCGACGGTGTGCGCGAAGCCATTGGGAGCGATCGGTATCTCTGACAAACGCATTGACTGTGCCGCTTGGCAGCCAAGTCCAGCGGAGATGTTGCATCTATTGCCGCTGATTAATCGCATCTCCATCGCCTGCTACTCGCCATTTGCCTGCGCATTCCTCGCACCCGCTGCCGGCGCCGCCACGCGGCGATCTAGCCTAGGTGCCGCCTCCACCGTCGACTGCACTAGTTGTGTCCCCCAACAGTGGTTCCTGCGACATCTCATTTCTGGCACGGTACAGTTCTTTACCAGTAAGTCGGCAGAGGACCCCATCCCTTTATTGAGATCGTGTACTTTCCCACCGAAAATTCACGGAACTCCTCAGAATCTAGTGTGGGATTACTGACGTCCTGAAGTTGTGGTTCTCCAGACCATCTGATGTGGTTGTGCTACATCGGTATTCCGTCTTCATGGCGATCTAATTTTTCACTAGTTATTAACTAGGCACTTTAGGCGCTAATCCCGTCGATTAGCATCTGCTTTTTTCTCCGGACTGTAACTGCTGCCACAGTCCCCTGATTTCATCTTCAACGCGGATTACAGATCCATGCCTCTAGCGTCTTATCCATTCCTTTTCAAATTTAATTACAGATTCTGGATTAAATTATATGCCCACTGAGAGAATGGCCTCTTCAATTGACTAACTAGCGATTACCTTTCTTTTATAAAAATAGAGCAGACCGATCGGTGGATGATACTGAGCGTCACCAGCCAAGGCAATGTGACTTTAACACCTAGCGAAACAGGTCCCGATGAGACCGAGGCGGACGCGGCAGCGGGATCAAATTCCAAGGCAGAGTTCGTAATCTTCATGACCAGCGACAAGTACGCCCTTTTGCGTCCTCTCCTCTCTGTGGGAAGTGGGCAGCGTAGACCCGCCTTCCTCGCTGTCAGCCTCCAGGGTGGCGTTAAACTCGATGTCTCCGGCACCATTACGCCTGGTTGCATCTGGCAGATCTGAATTGCACCTACTACCGCCACCACCACCACCACCACCACCACCACCACCACCACCACCACCACCACCACCACCACCA